GATACACACAAACCTGAGGAGCACGCATCAGCCACATTTTAAATAACTTGAAGTTTAAATTCATTTTAAATAAATTGAAGTTCAGAGATGTTACAGATTGGTCAAGGTCACACAGCCAGAAAGAAAGCAACACAAAACTTCAACTGAAGAAGCCATCGAAGAAACAGCTTCCACTATTTGGAAAAACAACCCAGGCAGGAATTTCTTTGTTTATGGGGTAAATCCCACACTGACACACAATGCTTTTTGCAAACACAGGAGGACAGGGTCTCTACTAGAAAGATCAACAAACAATTCCTGTAGTTTCGTATTTAACAAAATGGTGACAACTATGAGTTGATTCATTAAGTTTCTACTAAGCCACTTGTGATTTTTCTCCTCTCTCGCTGTGCCTATGTAAGTGTATCTATTGCAGCATGTGGGAAATTAGTATTTGTTGAATTGTTCTAAAAATGCTTTATATCATTTTAATGCAGAGGCAGCCCACAGGGCATCAGGGGCTATAGAGAAATAAAGGTATAGAGCCCGAGCGTTGCCATTTACTGGCTGTGAGGCAAAGTACTCACCTACCTGAGCTTCCTCACATGTAAATGGGACATTGGGAGGATTGACTCCCAGTGATGAACCTGGCCATAGCAGGGCTTCCATGTAGCTGTTTCTATTTCCCTTCCTTTAGTAATATCAAAAGAATAACTAATAACTAAAGTGCTTTCAAATAAGAAAGTAATTGATCTAGTCATACTTATTAAAAAATACTGTTTAGATCAAGAAATATTAGACTTTCAACTGACTTAACTCTTTAACGATTTAGAAACAATAGAAAAAAGCCATTAGAGTATCTCACATATTACCTCAGGCAATATTGTTGGGATTTTTGTGTTGTTTTGATTTCAATGACAGCATTCAAAACACAAAAATTTCTACATTACGGATTTTCTTCACTAATATTTAAGCTGGAGATATGTATTTGCAAAGATAGGCATTTTTCTCATTGTTGAGGAGTCTTTCTTTTTGAAAATACATGTATTATTTCTTTTTTCCATATTTATTTTGGTAAATGGAAGCCTTCTATAAAATGGTTGCAAGTCATGATAAAAGCGAGAGCACACAAGGGAGAGGTGAGGATAGGTAAGACACCTAAAAAATTAGCTAGCATTTGTTGCCCTTAACGCAGAGAAACTAAAGCAGATACCTTAAAAGCAACTGAGGCCAATAGGAAAAGGGGACCAGGAACTAGAGAAAAGGTGAGATCAAAAAGAATTAACCTAGAAGGTAACACACACACACAGGAAATCAATGCGAGTCAACTCCCTGTATAGCTATCATTATCTTAACCAGCAAAAACCTTTGTTCCTTCCTATTATGGCTTATACTCTCTCTACAACAAAATTAGAAATAAGGGCAAAATAGTTTCTGCTGGGTATTGAGGGGGTAGGGGGAAGAGGGAGGGGGCGGAGTGGGTGGTAAGGGGAGGGGGTGGGGGCAGGGGGGAGAAATGACCCAAGCCTTGTATGCACATATGAATAATAAAATTAAAAAAAATGGCTGCAAGTTTCAGCATTTGGAAACTCTTCTTTCTTTTCTTCTAAGCCTGGAGAATGTGGCTTCTAAACCTCATTAATTCCACCATTCTCCTTTATTCATTGTAAGAGTACTTTTACTTCTCCTAAGTATCATCCAAGAAAACTTCTAAGGATTGCAATTAGGTCCTAAATAGTGGAAATATTTTCCTCCTTCTGGTGTATTTCCCAAAATTTCCATTTACTATCTTATCTCTGCAGAACTCAGAATTAAACGCTGATCTGCCATGTGTTATATGCACATCAGTAGTGTGTAGGATACCTTGTTTGTGCTGAAAGAAGATAAAACAGATGTCAAAATACTTTTGAAATTTAAAAGCACTATGCACATTAAGGTATAATTATGCAAGTGTGAGTGTGACATTTATTTATTGGGGTAGGGAAATGGGGAAGCATTTCAGAACTTTTGGACTAATGAATCTAATTTAGAATTATAGGCCAGAGAGGCTACGTTTTAGCATGGTAGGAAACCCATTGTTTAGATGTGTTTACATCATTACATGTAGTGGTTTAGAAAACACTATTAGTGCTGAACACAATTTTGTTTCTCACATATTCATTAAGGACAATTAGATGCCAGAATATTGCTCATATCAGAATAAAAGCAAATAGCCACAATATTTACAAATCTCCTGTATTCCAAGACAGGTATTTTAAATACTGGTTCAAATTAAAACAAGCAATTAAATATCACTCTAGTGCTATATTTTAAAGGTTTGTTAACAAATTGATCTCAATTTAACTTTCAACCTTGGTTCTCTCATTTAAGCAAAGCACCCTCAGCCATCTGTTGGGTGGACCTTAAGATGCCAAAACCCCTATGAATTATTGCAGTCTCCAAGAACTTAAGATTTCTGGCCTAGGGCTAGAATTCCAAATCATTCTAGTGGGGGCTTAGCAGCACAGTGAGAAGTAAAGGGGTTTGTAAGAAAATGAATCCTCCTCTCTTAGTAGGTAAGAAAGAAAGCCTGAAGCGGGGCCTCTGAGTGTTAGTGGGAAACAGACAGGTTAGGCAAGCATTAACCCACCTTCGGTGTGCCTTTTGGGAGAAACCCTTTGGAAAAGAGCCACAGGAACTTCACTCTCAGTTGGAAAGAGGTGTAACAAACTGCTGCCTTATAGGAAGTTTAATTGCTAATTTAAGTCTTTAGGAAGACCCAACTTTATTGGCAGAGAAGAACATGTTCTAGAGAGAATATTTAGATCACTAAAATGCAAATGGATTTCAAAAGCTATTACAGCAAATGATCAAAACCAAAACTGAGGCGGAATAACAAAAGAAAAAAAAGCATCAGTTGAATGTATGAGTGATGGAAAAGTCACCTAAATCAAACTGTTCAACCACAAAATGACCAAGTATTTCATATTTTGACAGGTTAAAGCTTTAGAATGGTTATCGTTCTAAGAGGTGTACATTCATTGCTCTGTGATTTTTGGCCTTTCCAACCTAGGGAATATTCGCAAAACAAAATTTAAAAACACAACATACAGAATTGCAGTCCCAGAATCTTTTTTTTTTTATTGATCAGAATCCTGCAGTGCCAGCTCCTATTTTCTCTGCGGCCAAAGTGCTGTATTGAACTGCAGGATGTTAGAAAGCTTCTAATACTCTCCCAGTTGCTGATGGAGCCTATGTCTCTATCAGTCATTCGATCGTTGTTAGTCAGCCCTAGGAGCTCAATAAGCACACTCATGCAGCTGCTGTGGAACTCACCCTATCCCATCAAGCTGTTATCTCATTCTGCTTTCAACTTTTGGTCCTTTTTTACCTGGCCAGATAAACGTTCACTCCATTTTCTCAAGGCAAGACAATTCCTAAAAGGGATGCAGTTCAGACTAGAGTGACAGGAAAAACATTTGGATTATTCAAAAAGTAGTCCTGCCCCTGCTTAGGATTTTCCAGAAGAAAGTAAGGGAGCAATTTTGTTAGATGACTGCTGAGTGTTCAGACACAAGCAGAAGAGTAATTAATTCCTATATGAGAAAAAATAGCCCTATGTGGAGAAATTTCATAAATTACAGGAGCAGCCAAGATAGGTAATTCTATGACTGAAGTTGACAGTCAATAATAGCTACTGCTCATTAAAGAACCATCCCATCTTAGCCAGAAAAAAAAAAAGTTCACATTAATACATAAAAGTCCACCTGGTTCAAGGTTAAAACAAATGCCATCTCAGAAATGCTGCCAGTAGGTAAACAGATCTACATATGTGATCCACTGATACTAATGAATACCAGGAAAGGAATGAGTAGTTTGGGGGAAGAAGTTTTCATACTTTCTATCTAAAAAAACTTCAGTGAAAACAGCAAAACAGATTTAAAGACAATACCTAAAACAGAGAATGGGATAATTATTTTTGTCTCTCCTACATTTTCCATCTCCCCTCAATAAAAGATTATCCATAATCCCAACATTGCTACTCCCTCAGAACGAATCAGATTGAGAGAGTGGAGAGGAGACACGGTATCTCAGATCCTCGGTCCTCTCTCTCTAAGGCATCTTCAGGCAGATAGCCATGGTTTCCAGAACATTCTCTTTACACTTTTCTTCATCCAGCTGCAGCATAGAATGTTTACCAAAGGCTTCTAAAAACAATCTCACCAAACAGTTGAGAAAAAAATTTAACAACCAAGGCAAAGCAGTTACAGTCAAATTTTCACCTCAAAATTCTCATCTTAGGTGTGTGAGGGAAAGAGAAGACCCTTAGGATACCAGTCTGAACACAGAATGGGGATGAAAGGAGTTGATTCTGCCAATAGGTTTCAATACATCCTTATCTTTGAATCTCTGGGCAAAGCTGTAGAGCTAGCAACTGGCTGAATGTACCCAAAGAACAGTGCCACTGTTTGGCTATGACTCCAATGATAGGCTAGAATGGACATCCATATCAAACAGGAAAGGTCTGACTGTGACAGAGAGCTCTTTTCAATAATTTGTGTCAGGCAGCAGCATCATTTTCAACTATTCAAGGTGACAATGTATGATGATATGCCTAGCTCCAGGAGTATAATCCTCTGCAAACATATAAATTTGGGAGGAAATTAACATTATTACATGGAGTTAATCTCTCCCCTCCCAACTTCTGCCCTGTTATCCAACCAATTTACATTTAAAATCTAGAGTTCTCTTGATTTGATTCAGATAGTTTTATTCCCTTTGGAGCAAACACTTTGTAGGTACAAAATCAGACATAATTTCTTCAGCTGGAATTGATAACAGTATGGGTATACATTTATCTCCCAGAAAGACCTGTACCAGGTTTGTTCAAGAGAGCAGAGAATAAAGGCACTTTATAAAATGGTAAAATTCCAGTTAGGCATGGACAAGAAGCATCTATTGTGAGCTATGGTCCAATATTTAAATGTGTTACCTGATATGGGTGAAAGTCAAACATACCACAGAGGCTTTGAACACCTTACCTGGGCCATCTGCCTCTCCAGTTTTGATCGGGGAATATCATCAAAGTAGTTTTCATTTCTTCTCCTCCTTGCATCGCCCTGCATGATAATGTGAGGAACGTCTAGGGAGCCACCAGTGGTGTAAGTGCTTTGGCTAAGTGATGGAGACAACTGAGGAGGAGTGTGATTACCACTGGGTTCCTGAATGGAAATACATCATGAAATAAATACCATGCTCTCATGGCTAACCTTTGGTTTTCAAATTGTGAAATACTAACAAGATTAACTGGAGTGTTGTTTTTGAATCAACTGCCAAGGAACGAATGACATTCTAACACTTATTCTATTAATGGCCTGGTCAAGTCAATACATCCCTCCCACCAAGTAGTTCAGGTCAAAGGTTTAAAGTATAAAGAATCAAGCTCTGTTTTCTTAAACCAGCACTGTGAATGATCTTAGGAGGGAGGCATCCCTCTTTTGGATACCCCAGACACTATCATGTGTGTTTACAAGGGAAGGATCTGTAGGAGATATGTCCTCACCATGGCAGACGTCATGACAAGAAACTAAAATGGGACCTGATGGGTCTTGATCCTCCACCAAAAGTGGTCTGATGATAGGGCCAGGAAGAGAACACAGTATGGTAACACAGCATGTCACAAGACATACAGACTGCAGAGCAATGCATATAATGACAGAGGATGCTTTTCAATGGCAAAGACAACTCCAGCTGGAAATTGGCCAGAAGTAAGATAAGGGGCTACAGCAGCTGAGCTCTGGTGGGGTTTGTTTGTTTGTTTATTTATTTATTGCAGTACCAGGGCTTGACCTCAGGGCTTACACCTTGAGCCACCCCTCCAGCCCTTTTCATGTTAGATATTTTTAAGACAGAGTCTCACGAACTACTTGCCCACGCTGGCTTTGAACTATGATTCTCCTGACCTCTGCCTCCTGATTAGCTAGGATTACAGGCGTGAGCCACCAGCAACTGGCTGAACTCTGATGTTTTTAAGAAGAGGACTGGGACCATCCAATTCTCTAGGCTGTTTCTCCCCCAGATTTTCTAGACCTCCCTTGGCAGAGTTAGGCCCACTTTTGCTAGGGATTCTCTACCTTTGATCAGTTTGTTGTTCCCCTGAGTCTCTTCTGGGGAGCTAGAACAAGAGGCTCAGAAGAGAAACGTCAGGGAGCAGGTTAAGTAGCTGGAAATCACTCCTCCAAAGAGGAGTTTCATTTCAGCACAATTATACCACAATTATTCCAATGGTGCCTACAGCTTCCTCCCCTTCATATAGCAAGAGGAAGGCAAGACAGTAAGCCCTTTCCAGGCTCTCTCCCCACCCCCTGCAACTTATTGGAGGTTCCTCTCTTTTCTATTTCTGTCTTCACTGCTCTCAAAATCCTCAAGTAGCCTGCAAGTATTCCAGCAATTAGTTTCCCCCCAGCTCCCTCCTAGAGCCAAATTCTCTTGTATTTCATGGAATCTTGTTTATTTTCTCCTTCAAAGCTGAATCAGACTCAACATCAAAACAGCTCCTGTCCTGCTGCTCCCTCTGCCATCCTGACAGCAGCTTGCCCTTTGCTGAAGTTCACGAATCAGAGGCGTTTCCCCTCGGGCCCCGTTGTTTCTAGGGGCCGTGCTTCTGTTCATCATTTACTATAGCTACCTTTTCTTATGCTTGCAGGATGGGAATCCAAAGCAAGCAAGTGCAGGACTAAACAGAGAGCAGAGCAGGATCTCTCCTCCTTGCCAGGGAGATCGCAGCTTTTTCATGCACTTTAGAAAAGGTCTTACAGGGTTCACGAAAACCAGGGATTTTTTAGCTATTCCCTGCCATTGCCATTCTGCCTGGAAATCACTCCTCCTTGACTTCTTTTTCTCTGCTCCTTCCTTCTTGCCTTCCTTCCCTTTCTGCTTTACCTTCTGCAGTTTCTCTCTAGTTTTTCTGTCCCTATAATTCTAAAACTAAGCTGAAAGAAATAAATATAGATTAAGATTTTAGATTCTCTATTCTTAATTTTTGAACTGGGTAAAAATGGTCAATTTTCACTTCTTGGAAAAAAACCAGAAGACCCTGAGGTTAATTTTAAATTGATCTTTACTCAACAGTAGTCCTTGATCGATTTCCTTTTGGTGGGTTTGAGAAGCCTGACAGAAAACTCATTTCCTCTCTCAGTGTAGATGGTAGTGTGGGAATGGAGGTGAGGGAGTGGTTCTTTAAACATGGTGATCTGTCAGAGTAAATTCCATTATAGATGCATTTCTGAATCTCCTATATATGTAAATATATTTAACTAATTGAGAAAGCCAAATCTTGTTTTCTAAAAACATGATCAAAAGGCATATTGTTTTTTATAGAACTAAGACAAGCTATGTGGAAAACAGCCTGTATTTCCTGATCCATTGCTTTAGTCATTTTATTGCACAAAGTACTTGTTGAGGTTAAGGGCAGAGTGAAATGAACATGGTGGCACTTACCCTGAGGGTGATGGACCGAGGGGGCTTCTGTGGAGGATCTTCGTGCAGTCTGTCTCCCAGAGATGCCAAAATACGTTTCCTGTGGCCAATCAAATTGATTTTTAAAACCTGAAACAACATGTATTTGGGTTAACTATCTCATTTGAAAAAAATAAAAAATATGTCCTAAAATGTGAAGAGTATAAAGTTAGCCCTGTCCTGTGAGAGATGGGGTATGAAATCAGGAGGACACTCAGGTCTAGAAAGGCAGGAAGGAGTAGCTGCCAGGAGGTCTGGGGTTAGAAAGAGAAAGCAGACATGATTCTCCTGGACTCCTGCTGCCCAGGGTCCACAACCTCAAGACCCTTCGAAAATAGAAACCATCTCTTATCATTGACCAGTTGAAAACTCTCTGAGGACATTCTATTGCACTTAGAGTAAGAGCTGAGCCCCAACCTGGCCTCACCACCAACAGGCCTGGTTGTCTCCATCTCTCTCTACCTGTGTCCCTGCCTCCGTCCCCTTCATGCAGGATGATCAGCCACATGGACCTGAGTGACTGTGCCTTGGGCACTCCACAGTCAGTCACACCTTGGAACCTCTACCCCTGCTCATCCCTCTGCCAAGATTGCTTCCCCAGAGATTTCAGGTAACTATAGACTTCCCATCCCTCCATTGCTCAACTGTCTCCTTGGAAAGGCCTTTCTCCAGCTCCCACTAAAATGCTGCACCCCAGCCCTCGTCACACTCTACCCATGATTTTCTTTGTATCATTCTCTGAAATAACTTTATTGGCAGCCTTTGTGTTTGTGCACCACTCTTCCCCATGTGAATTCCTTGAGAGCAGGACACTGGGATTTGCTTGTCACTATTATTTCCCCAATGCCTAAGGTAATGCTTGAAACAATAGGCACTCAAGAATATGAAAAGTATGGCTGTTGATAAGGATGAAGGCTGCAAAGTTAGGATTAGAATCAAGTGCTGCCTATTTGGGGTACAGTGAGTCACCCTGATAGTATTTTTGGTGTGACAGTGCTGTAAAGCACACCTGTTGAGGAGAGATCAAACGGAACTAAGAACTGTAGAAAGCATCAATCCTTACTCCTGTTCCTGGTGCTGTACAAATGCTTCCCCTTTTGGTCCTCCCAACACCCCTATCTGGAACTTCTCATTTTATAGACGAGGAAAATGAAGTTAAGATTGCTTAAGTCATCACCCAAGAAGCCCAGCATGTGGAAACTTGGATCTGATTCTAGTTTGTTTTACTTAAAGGTATACACTGCAAAACTGTGAACATATTTCCAAATATTGCTGACTCTTAAGAACAATATATGAATCCACTCATAAAGAACATATCCATCATTTTGTACCTATGTATGGCTTTAGAATGCAACAACTCTTGATGGGTAAACGAGTTTCTAAAGTAGTTACCTGTTGTGTAAATTTTATTCCTCTTTTTAAAAGTTTTACAGCATTACTTTGGCGCATATACTGTGCTACCTTGAATTTTTATTTGTTCGTCAGTCCACTGGCCTTTCAGTCTAACTTGATTTAGATTTTAAGTAGCCCTATGCTCTATTTCTTTTATGTCTACCCTCTGCCCCATGTCTGTTGGTGATGATGGAATAACAAATATTAACCAAGGTGAATGTCCGCCTGCACAAAATTCCAGTGATTTTATGAACTCTCATCTTCTCAGGCTGATGAATCCTAATCTTTGCAAATTTGTTTTCTTAAAGTACCTCCTCTTTCCCACAGGTCATTTTAGTTGACTTTCCATTTTTAAAAAATAGCTCACAATATTGCAGGTATAAGAGAACTATGGCTTTAAATTGGAGCAGGATACTGTTTTCTGCTTTTAATGGCCCTTTAAAAATGTTCTTTGTAAGCATACCTGATTTCTGGCTGCTCTTTTAGTTGCAGTTGGAACAACTGGAGACAGAGCCATATGCTGGCTGTAAAATCTCTTAATTTTGCTACAGTGGATAGCTCAAAGCTCTTTAATCTTGCGAAAATTGTTTGAATTATTTCTCCCTACATTCCTTATCTTAGGCTTGTCCATGCAGAGGCCCATATGCCACCCTTTGCTCACTCACATAGCCCTTCATTTTCTTTCTGCATTTATATTAGCCAGCTTGACATTTCACTACCTGGAAGAGCTTAGGAGTTTTTTGCAAATCTGGAAATTTCACTACATATTCCTTCTTTCAGGTGATTCATATATATGCTAAATAAGTGTGGTCCCGGTGCTGATTACTTGTAGGCAGCCTTATTTATACCATGTGTAGAAATGCCCTTATACTCTTGCCTTGTTTCTTTTTTTCAAGTGTGAGGATCAAAGAATTCCCTCATCTTAGAAAAATACAACATTAACCTTTTCAAAGGTATTTTGCAAGTCTAAACACACTACAGTTTCTTATTCCCTTTTATTCTCATTCTCAATTACTTTGCCAAAGGCTTCTAGTGGATATAAATCCCTCCCATAAAATCCCACTGCTTTTCTCCCACTAGGTAATTGGACCTGATGCTAATGCGGCTACCTTGTTCCCTGAGTCCTGCTAAGAAATGTTTTTATAGTAATAAATGCACTCAAAATTACTTTGGCAAACTGACACTAAAGAACAAACAACTGTGGTAAAATTGAGCTCCATTCTTGCTCTTGGTTTCCCCTCCTACACTCAATTTTGGGCAAGTGAGATCACTTGACTCCTCTGATCTTAGTTTCATCTACAACATGAGGAAATGTTAATGCAAATTTCCAGTGCCACTGAGAAGAGGAAGAGGAAAGTTGTGAGAATAGCTAGTACAGTGTATGGTACACAGAATATTTGACCTTCACTGTGTGCTCCTTCTAGCAAATGGACCCCCAGGGATGCACAGAAATCTTGACCCAGAAGAATGAAGACATGGACATTCTCCCAAAGCTAGTCAGGTCAAACACATAAGCTGGTTCTTTGCATGGAGAGATTTGGCCTACCTTGGAAAAGCTCTCATTGAAGTAACTTATCCTGGTAGGAAAATATTTGATTTCTACCTATTAGTTTAATACAAGACCTGCTTTAAAAGAATGTATGCTTTTCTCCCATCCACACTTTTAATCTCCAACAGGAGGTAAACTAAGGGCTGGTGGAGTGGACCAAGTGGTAGAGAGCCTGCCTAACAAGTGGGATGCCCTTGAGTTCAACCCCCAGTACCATCAAAAAAAGGAGATAAACTAAGGAGCTCCTCTGTGTTTGAGCTCCAATGGTGCCTCCTCCATAGAACAACAAAGATGGTAGGGGGGCAGTAGATTAGTAGGTAACAACACAGAATGATGATTTATGACAAGAACACATGGGTAACTCTCCTTATTTATTAGAAATGAGCCCATATTGCACCCAACTCTGACAATAATGACCATCTCTTGAATATCTCCTATGATCTAGTTCCATATATTATAGCTGTGCTAGAACTTGTGCCATGAGCATTACATATATGTACAAATACCTCACCTAATCCTTAACGTAACATTTTCATTCCCATTTTAGAGATGCAAAACCTGAGACTCAGGAATACTGAATAACCGGTCTAAGGTCACACTGCTAACAGGTGTCATGGCTGGGATCTGCATCTGATTTCTTCATCTGCTCTTTATCACTCACCATGCTCCTCTTCCTGATATTAACTTTCATACCTTCTGGCTTTAGATACACTACTGGTTATGCCATTATGGTGCTTCTTATTTTGTTTAAAAACTTATATTGGGTCTTGATCATTGGAGAACATTAAAATAAACCAATTTTTGGATGAGGCTCATAGCAGTGTTAAAGTTTCAGGCCAAAAGAGAAAGAATTTAACAACTCCCTGTGAAGACTGAATCCAAGTTGGCTAACAGCAGAGTGGTAGAGAAGGTAGGTAATATTCATCGTCATGACTCCCCAGTCAACAAGAGAAAATACAATTGGCAAGACTATAACAGACAGAACATTCCAAAGACAGATTGTCATTATGGAAAAGTTAAGTCCAAAGACAATTAAGTTTGCTTTGAGTGAGAATAATTCAATCTCTGACCATCTTTGTAGTCAGAGTCCTGAAGTAGAGGAATCCCAGGATCCAAATATCAATGACCTGCAAACCTTTTGTTATAAAAAAATCCCCAAAGCAATGGTTACTGTGGTAGAGAAGAATTCTGTAGAGTTTTCATTACTGCTTGGGTGAAAGTTAACTGGAATCTAATGGGAGCAAAAGACAAAGTAATGGTAATATGACATTTAGTTACTTTAATCTAGTTATATTAAAGATACTGAGACAAATCAGTTCAAAACAGAAATCAATACTGAGTTTCTACCACAAATTACTTAAAGAATTCAAAGGGGGAACTTGACTGACAGAGTTTATAGTATTGGAAATACTGGGCACAAATAGCTGTACTGTCCAACTATTAACTTAAAAAATTACACATAAGCATAAGAAAGTTCTAATTGTAAAGTTCCAATGGATAAATAAAAGTTATCACATGCTTTTAAAATGATTTTCATTGCCACTATCTTAGAAGAAATGGATGCCAAAAAAGCAAAGAATATTATTGAACAACATTGGGCCTACATGAATTTCCTTCAGTATCAACTAAACAGGACATCCTCAGAAACCCCACTGCAAATTAGGGCAATAGGAGAATACTGGCGCTGAGTGACAATAGTATAATATTATGTCACTGTCATTTATGTGTCTAGGTTTAGTTATGAGGGTTCTTCCAGACATTACCCTTGCACTGAATAGCTCACATCAGAATATGTCACAGCAAAGCTGAAAGTCAGGGTAGTTAGACTTTTCACTTTTTAAATGTCATGTGATATTAATTAAACATGTTAAACTTAATGTGATGTAAATTGAACATCTTTTTTTCTTTTTCATTTTAAAAAATTAATGTTTTGATTATAAAAATATTGCTTTTCCACTGTAGATACTTTATAAATTATACAAAAGCAAGAGAATAGTTATCCATAAGCTATTAACATTTAGGTGTATTTTCCCTCATGATTATGTTTTGTGGTGGCCATGTTGTAAATGTACCATTCACCTTGATTTTTTCACTTAATATTAAAGTTAAAAAATTTTTCCTACACATACAACTCTGAGCAGACTTTCTT